CAGGTATCATGTAGCCTAAGTTGGACTCAAACACACTGTGTAGCCAAGAATAACTTTGAATTTCCGATCTTCTTGCCTTCACCTCGAAAGTGATATCAAGTCCAGTTTATGTGGTATTGGCAATCAAACCTTAGGTTTTGTACATGCTAGGTGAGCAGTCTACCTTTTGGTTTGTGTCCCCGATCCCAACCTTTTGAAAAAGAGATGGCTCATAAGAGAACATTATTCCAGCAGAATCTGAGCTGATGATCTTTTCCAGTAATTTTCAAAACTTTCCTTTGGCTCACAAAAAAAAAAGAAAGGAAGGAAGGAAGAAAGAAAAAGAAAGAAAGAAAGAAAGAAAGAAAGAAAGAAAGAAAGGAAAATCAGATTAAAGGATAGGCTGACTAGGTGTGGGCCTCCTAGGACTGGTTTTAGCTTGTCTAGGGCCTGTTGGGATGTTCCCTACAGAAATGCCACTCCCACAAAACAGTTTGAACCAAATGCTGGAAATTCCAGACTTCTTAGCAAATGAACATAAAACGTAAAAAGAAATTTCTAGTTTAAATCCAGGATAGTCATTTTTAAGGGAAGTTGTTACTTGATTAAAAAAATATTGATTATTTTGAAGTATTCATTTCAAATAGTAAAATATATTTGTGCCCATGTGGGTGCAGAGTTAGTCAGTGCCCTGCTGTTACTCTCCATCTTATTCCCTCCAGAAGGCTCTCTCTCTCTCTCTCTCTCTCTCTCTCTCTCTCTCTGAAATTTAAAATAAAGTTATTTTTATACAATATACTTTAATCATGGTTTCCCCGCCTCTCCTCTCCTTCCAGACTCTCCCCAACTCTCCACTCTTCCCACTCTATATCTTCTTTCTCTTTCAAGAAAACAGACAATTAACAAGGCAGACAAGAAAAGTAAAACAAACAAAAATAACTAAGAGCAGGAGAAATGCATGGATACATGTGTGTATGCAAACACACACACACACACACACACACACACCATAAACACTCAAAATTGGAAACCATAGCATGCAAGCAAAAGACCAGTGAGGTTAAGAAATAAATGCCCAAACAAGGCAATATAAGGCAAGAAAATCTCTGAAAATACCTTTGAGTTCATTTTGTGCTGGCATATACAGCTGGGCATGGGATCTATCCCTAAGTGTGGTTTCTCTACCTAGAGACTCCCTTGGAGACCTTGAATTTTTTCTTTGTGAGCAGCTGTTAATTGGAGATAGCATCTTGGTTAGGAACAGTTGGCCTGTCTGGTTTGAACCTGTACAGGCCCTGTGGAGCAGCTCTGTTGTGTCTGGAAGATACTGTTTCCTTGGTATCACCCATGCCCTCTGGCTCTTAGCATCTTTCAACTTCTCTTCCACATAGTTCCTTGAGCCCCGAGAGACAGGGTCTCTTACTGAACCTGCAGCTCACTAGTTTTTAGTTAGCTGGTGGCTCGAAAGCCCCAGCAATCCTCCTGTCTCTCCCCACCACCTGAGCTTTGGGGTGATAGGGTTTACCTTTTACACAGGTTTGGGGGGGGGGGGGCTGAGTTCAAGTCCTCATGTTTACACTTAAAGACCTTTTACCCAGTGGATAATCTCCCCAGCTCTTGAAGACATCTTTATCCACAGCAGGTATTTTAATTTGAATAACCCATTGATTATTTTGAGCATCTACTGCCATGTGGTAGGTGCCATAGATTAGTGATCAGGGAAGACTCACAAGGGTAATTTAAGTAGAGACTTAAACGGTGAGAAAAGTCTATCAGGTGGAGTTAAGAATACCTAGGAAGAGGAAGCTAGAACTTGGTGGGGTGGTAGCCTGAGGGGAGGGCTCCACTAGAGGGTTTCTGATTTATCCTATAGGGAACTGCTCTGCTCTTTTATACTGTTACATTTGATCACTAATAAGTGGCTTTGGTTGGCATTATCCTCCTGGTTTCCAACTAGTCTGCTTGGAGCTAATTTGCTGGTCTAGAGCCATTACCAATCCCAAATAAAGGGATACTTAGTAGGACCATTAAAAAGTGAGCCAGTGGTTATGTAGAGAGTTTGAGGCCAGCCTGGGATACATAAGCCATTCTCCATAAACATCAAACAAACAAAAACAGAAAAGCAAAACTCTGCATTGTCTGTTAGAAGAAGTGGACTGTATATGGTATAACACCAGGTCAGCCTGTATTTTTACTGCCTCACTGAGTGACTCAGAATGCCTTTCTTACTTCGGACTGGGAGGAAGGCCCGTCAGATATCCCACTCAGTGGCTGCTGGGAGCACAGCTCTTGTTTGGTGAGTGAGAGCTCTGTAAACACATGACGGGAGAGCAGGAGAGGAAGTTTAGGAGGTCAGGATCCACGTCTTCACATTCCAGGAGCGTTTTTGTCTAGTGAAGCCAGAACATGTTCAAGCCAGAAGGGACCTCCAGGACTAACTCAACTCCTCATCTTGTGAGGTCAGGATGTTGGCAAGTGGTGGGCCATGGCGGGTCCCACTCACCAGCAGCCCTATGAGGGCTTGAGTTTTCTATTTGGTGAGGGCTATTTGGGAACATGGCTGTGGAAAATGGAGGCTTGTGGCCTTAGTCTCCTATCCTGATTTGGCGCTTTGAAGAACCAGCTTATGGAGACAACCTGTGGTCTGCAACATCTTCTACTAGCTCCCACTATAGGGGCTTCCAAGAGGAAGCCAGAGCCCTTTGGGCACTGGGAGTCTGGAGATGTACCACTCTGCCAGTAGGTTCCTGTCCAGGGAGGCTTTTTTTTTTCTCTCTTTTTATTATTATTATTATTATTATTAATTCAAGTTAGAGAACAGGCTTGTTTCACATGTAAGTCCCCTCTCCCTCTCCCTCCCCTCACCCCCATTCCTTCTCCCCCACCTCCAACCTACCCCCCACCCCACCTCCGGAGGCTCCCAGGAGTGCAGGGGCCCAGGGAGGCCTTTTAATACCATACAGTCATGGACTGGCACAGGGGTGACGAAAGTAGTTAATAGTCAATAGCAGTTACTCTGAGACCAGTGCTGCTTCCAAATGAGTGCTATTCATTATGCCAGCATCTGTGCTCACTTGAGAAACCATTGAAGGTCTGTGTGGGGCACATTTACTCTGTTCACAGGAAATCCTCAGCAGGCAGTTGGACTTAAGGACCTGTGACGGTGACTAACCGGCTACCCCAGGCATCTGTGGTCCACAAATTTAGAACTACTGGTCTGGAAGCATCAGCTTTCACAAAATCAGCCACCTATAGAGAAGGACTCTTAACCATGGCCAACTTCCTGGTGCAAACCCATACTACCATATTTAAAATTATCTTTATTATTTGCTTTTTTTTTCTTGTAAAAGTAGCTCAAGCTCATTGTAAAGAAACTAACATGTTACTGAAATGTGTAGCTGTGAGCAATTCCAGTTTTGCCTGTGTTTATAATTTATAACATATGCTAAGATTTTACAGAAATAGAAGTTACTGTACACAATGTTCTCTAACTGTGCAAGTTTTAAAAATGTGTTGTTACAGGAGAGTGGGCCCTGCACCCTGTCTGAGCAGCACACCGGAGCTGACCCTGTTGTCAGGGACACAGGGGAGCTGGCCCTGAGGGCATAAGAGCAGGAGAGCCACCCCCCC